AAAAAAAAAAATCAGCTTTTTAAGGATTTTACAGTAGGCTTCATACCTTTTGTTTAGTGAATTCTTTTGAATTTAGGCATTGAAAGTCTAATATGAATGTACTTAAATCAATACACCGGTCACTACAACCGTGTATTTTTTTGTTTGAAGGTTCGAACCTTGTCGACTTCTGTTAATCGGTATAGAAGGATCAAGTTCGAACCTGAATTCACTTGTCAACCCGCGCAATATCTCTAGACGTCACGTATGTACCAATAACACGCTCGCCAGGGCCCATGCGGGTGATTTTTATATACCCCTTTAGTGTACCTATGTGTATACAGTTTATAGTGCACGTGCAGGGGTATTTTAAAAGTATTTGTAGACGCCTTCTGTCCGCTAGTACGAGTGTTGCGGATCCGGTGGCGTGCATCTTGATATTGACTCCCCCATTCACCGGGGATGGATTTTTTGGATTTTGAAGTCAAAGACTGCTGATTTGGAAATAACTCCTTTTAGGCTCTTCGGCATAGTAGACTTACTATTTTCGGTGTTTGTAGACACCAGAACTGTTTTCTTCTAAATTATAAAATTAGGAAGAGATTTTGGAACACCAGGAAGTTTGGTTATAATTTGTTCAAACATTTCCCCCCCTTTCTACCAAGGGGTGTCCTTTTTCGTACATCGGGCTGCCTTTATACCCGGTGTACTTTTAGATTTTGATCACCGCTGTCATAGGTGATATTTGTACTCGTGTCCACAGTGATTCGTTATACAATATACTGTTGTTATCCACAAGTATTCATTTGCATAAGTATTCATTTGCATTTGTAAGGGGTCCGTACTTGTGCCCACAGTGATTCATCATACTTGCAACACACTGTTGTTATCCACAAGTATTCATATGCATTTGTAGGGGACCGTTGTATCCACTACGAGCTTTTAGAAAATGTTTGCAAGAGATTCATTCTTTCTGCATCATATTCACCCTTTCATCAATCTCAGGTGGATTTTTGTGTATTTGTTTGACCTCGTAGGGATCGTCGTAGAAGATACTTGTACTTGTGCCCACAGTGGTTTGATATGCTTATGATATGCCCCACTGTTGTTATCCGCAAGCGGCTCGTATTTGTTTGTAGGGATCCATTATGTTTGCTACTAGCTCCTAGGAATGTTCGTAGGAGACTCTCGTTTCTTGCATCACATCCACCTTTCACCAATCTTAGGTGATTTTTTGTGTATTTGTTTTTGTTTGCAGGTTGTAGGTTGAATGCGTAGGAGCCTTCTACTGTAGATTGTGGGTATTTGCATTTGTCGTGTGTTATACACTGAATACATCTATAGGAGGTTGTAGTTTGATTGGTGTCGAGTCTGACTCAAGTCTGAACCCTTCCAAGTCTGATTTGAATCAACCTCGTGAGCTCAATATGCCAGGTCATTTTTATGTCCCTTGTAGTCCAAATCTTGTTCAATTCTAGTGTCTTCCACACTTAGTAAATTTGAATTTGAGCCCGAGTGTATGTTCAAATGATTACTCAAATTCTTTTGAGATCTTGCAAGTTCAATTGAATAGTCATTTTTATTTGGATTTGATTACAATTTGATTTGATTTTATTCGGATTTTGATCTTTAGAAATCATTTGAATTTTTTTCAGGTCCTCTGCTCGTATTCAATCAAGTTCGGCGGTCCACAGTTCATGTTCAAAAGTTCACTGCTCTTTCTCATCTGGTCCAAATCTTTTGTTCTTTTGTTCAAAACAGGTCCTAGTGTAGTAATATTTCACCCGAAATTTCGGCAACCTCCCGGCTTCTCCCCCGTTTAGGGGAAAACTACGAAAAAACTGGGCCTTCCCACCACCCGCAATAAAGGCCTGCATGGTAGGTGCCCTCTTTCGAGGACACCGTGGCCGTGATTTTTTTCCCACCACGCCAACAAAGGCGTGCATGGGGTCTCTGACGGTACCTGTTACAAGAAGAAGAGCAGTTGTTTTCCCTTCGCCCGGGGGTACTTATGAATTATTTCGGCCGCGCAAAGAAAATGGTACACCAGGCTCGCCTGGCCTCGCCGTGTGCGTCGAACCGGTTTCCCTCCTACCACGCTCACTAAAGGCGTGCTTAGGTGGTTTGCCGGCTCGGCACGCATGTCGAGACAGGAGGGAGAGGGTCGCTCGCTTACCTTGTCGTAGGTGTCGTGCCAGTTTCCCCTCCCATCACGCTCAATAAAGGCGTGCATAGGTGGACCACCGACTCGACACGCATGCCGAGGTAAGAGAGCAAGAAGGGAGGCGACTGTCCGCCTCGTCGTAGGCGTCGGACCGGATTTCCTCCTACCACGCTCACCAAAGGCGTAATTAAATTAAATTAATTATAATTAAGGTTAATGAAAACCCTTAATCCCCCCTAACACTCTGGTTCGGCCAAATTTACGGGATTCGGCCGAAGAAGTGCGCGAATAGGGAGAAAGTTACCTTCACTTCCAGCGAGCTCCTCTGCTTGCTTCCGAACAAAATGTCGTAACCTCCAATCCGACAGGAAAGGCGAGGCGTCGGAGGAGCAAAGTCGCTCAGCCACGAAGGAACGGCGGAAGAGGGAAAGTTCCTGCACAGCGAGCGAGCTCCCGGTCTTGCCTCCGATCCAACAGAAGGGTAAGTCGTTGGGGTGAGCGAAGTCGACCGGAGACGGAGGAGCCGAATAGGGAGATAGTTACCTCCTCAGCGATCGAGCTCCAATCGTTGCTTCCTATCAAATGTTGTAACTTCCGACCCCGCAGGAGGGAAGTCGTCGAATGGAGAAATCGAACGGCACTGGAGGAGGGGTCGGAGATGGGATGAGTTATTGGGTCAGGTGACCGGAGGCGACGTGGGGGATGCGACGTCGATGGTGCGAGCGACGTGCGACCTGCTTCGACGACGTGTGGAGATGTCCGGGCAGGTAAGATTTGATTTTTTTTTTTTTGGTTGCACAGCAGGTCAACACCACAAAAAAAAAAGTCACCATGGTATGTGATAGTCTAGCCAGCAAGTTCAAGTAATCAAAGATGTTCGACAGATTTCCTTTGTCCTTAATGATACTAAGATCATTTGAAGTTGTCAAGGATAGTCGTCCAATTCATCAAATAAATTTGCCAAAAACTTCAAAAAAATCCGGCAAAGCAAGTGAAATCGGCAGACAACTTCACTTAAATTTGTTCCTCACATAGAAGTCAACATCTGCACACTATGCAATAAAAAAGCTAAGTTCATTCATTTTACAAAGAGCGCTTGTTAAGCCTTACAATATAGATTTTTTATACTATTTAAATATAAATTTTCTTGCCACATTGAGCCCCAACTCAAACCAATAAGTAGCAAGGCAGAGGATAAGCCTAACACATCAAATCATTAGCCATTCTATTAAAACCTAAGCTTTTTTCACTAAGTTTTTTCTCTCTCATCTTCTTCTCTCTGGCTTGATAAGTTTTTGTTAGTAAAGCTCTAGAGTAACACACGAATAAATTTGGATCTAACAAAAGATGATTGATGTAATAGATTTGATGATCTCATTTCACCAAACATAAATAAGGGCTTAGAAAAAACTGTTCCAGTGAGTAATAGAAATTGTGATTACAATAACAACTATTACAAAACCTGAAAATAGTTTAAGACATGCATCCTGGGGAAGCTTATTCAGTTGGAAACGTTATCCTTGACGGCACCAAATTTACCAATTTGAACTTCAGTTAAATCTACTTCTAGCACATGACAAACATTAATTTCTATAGCATAAAGCAAATGTATATTCAATGCTTACTATCAAGAACGCCATCAATATAAGATCTTTTATCCCAGCACCCAAGATTTTTCCTTCTTTGTTTCATTGTAACAGCTATTCAATATAAATAATATTTTCCATCTTAACGAATTGACTTATAAATATGACAAACAAGATACTTACCAACGAATCCAAGCAAAACACTGTTAGTATTGTGCACCTTCAGAGCATTATAAAGACCCCAAATAACATTATGTCCTCCTGGAGATTGCCTTCCACTAAACACAACGCCCACTCTGAAAGAATGTGATTAAAATATCACAACAGCAACAATTGGCCAAGAACATCCAAGGTCATCAAAAAAGCCAAATGAAATGTCTAAAATAATAAATCCCGTAATACAGACATATCTGTTATGGCACTTTAAACTTTTAGACAAACAAGTAAACCTAGTTAATAGGGGAAATATGTGTAGCTACAATTGTAGTGGTGATGATCAGACACAACTGCCATTAAGAAAGAATAGGTAAAACATGAATGCAGACCTTATAGATGGATGCTCAGTTATGATCTGAGCATTTGGAACCTTGGATGTTCTCCTCAGAAAATGAGCCAAAGGCTGACCATATGTGTGTGGGAAAGCTTGGCTGATGACATGCGCACCAGCTGGATCTGCAGCAGTTGTTCCACCACCAAATTCAACCCTCACAGTTGTGCCCTGTATATGATAAAAGACAGGAGCAAGCATTCTAAAAAGGTGCCAAAGATTCATTATACGACTACATAGACAGTTGATTTCAAGAAACAAAAAGAAGGCACACAAGTTTATCTTGTTATCAATTTATAATAACCTCCAGTAGTGCCCCCTTTCTTTTGAGAAAAAATGAGAGTTCTTTTTTTTTTTAAGTTTGGTATTAAAGTGCCTCTAATTTTCATCTTTTGGCAAATAAGGGCAATTTGAATTAAGTTATTCATTAATCATCCTTTTAGTCAACTTCTTCCTGCTCCCATTTCTGAGTCCTACGCTTCACTACAATATCATCCCTTTGTTTCTATGAGTGAACTTGCCCACAACTCGCATGCCACCGATGTCAACAACAGGTCCCAAGATAACACTAGAGATTCTGTCAAGGGATCTCTTGTGTACTATCCTTGCATGATCCGAAACAAGATTCCAAGCAAGCAATTCGATGATGATTCAAGTCAACAAAGAAAAAAATTTGTTTGGCCCGCTCCAAAATCCAACGGTCCTAGTTCACTGATAAATGATGATCATTTAACCCAAAGAAAAATATTCAACCAACAGAAGGCATATTACTCAAACAAGGGTGCTTTAGTTGCACCTAAACAGGGTATGGGAGCTTGGGTTTGACCCGACTCATATTTGTAGCCCTAGGTTGTGCCAAACGAAGGAAAGGAGAGATGTGCAGTTTAAGGTTGGGGACATGATTTATTTGAAGATCTGACCTTCCAGACAAAGGACTTTGACTCAATGAAGGAATGAGAAGCTCTCCCCCGCTACTTTAGGCCCTACGAGGTAGTAGAGCGCATTGAATCAGTAGCATATCGCCTGTGATTGCCACCGACTTCAGTCATCCAACCCATATTTCATGTATCACAACTGAGACAAGCCATTGGAAACCACACAACCTCGCCCCGCACTACTGATAACACTGTCAGAGAATATGGAGGTGAAAGGGGTGCGCCAAGGAGATAAGGGGATCAAGGAGATGCTAATCTAGTGGAAGGATTTACCAAAATATGAGGCGACATAAGAACCCTACAGTACTATTCAGAAGCAATTTCCCTTTTTTGAACTTGAGGACAATGTGACTCTTTGGGATGAGAGTATTGATGCAGTTGGCAGCAATAGTCTTGTTGTCCATGTGAGGCCTAGAACCTCCTTTATCACCTATAGAAGAAGAGGTTCTGGGAGGAAACTCTTTGGGAAAGGGGGGACTCTTTGGGAAAGATGTAAGGGGCATTTATTAGGGGATTTGAGCTGTTTAAGAGGGGAGATTATGGTGGGTTAGGGTTTTTTATGTGATATTTGAAATTTCTGCAGCAGTTTTTGTGAGGTGTTTGGGTTCCTAGTAGCTGCTAGTAATTGTGGGAGAGACGATTCACCTCTCGAACAGTGAATCAACTTGTATCTTGTCTTACTTTGCTTGCAAATTTGTAAAAACAGCTCTCTTTGTGTTATTTCTGGATCTATTGGAAATAAGTTGTTGTTTTTTATATTGTCATACGTTGTTTTGATCATTAAGACCTATCACTCGGCCACTCCATCGCTTGGCAAGACACTGGCCGAATGAATGCCCAAGAAACCCTTCCACTTTGTTAATTACTTGTGTATCTTCTTTAATTTTCTTATCTTTATCTTTTTAATTTGTTAGGGTACCTAAGGCACTATATTATTTAGATATTCTCTATGGCTTGTACTCTTGGTCTCAAAAATCTATTTTTGAACACTAGTATTAGTTTTATGTCTTATTTTAAAATTTATGTTCCTATGGTTTTATATTTTAACAATCTTAAAAATATCACTCTTTAATGCCTACTTGAATTGTTAGTCATGCATTTTGTAGATTCATATATTGATCCTTAAATTTAATATTGATCATACTATTATTATTGCATTGTTTCATATATCTTTTTGTTCATTTTTATTATCAGATTAAGCTTTAAAAACACATCCAATCATCATGTTAAGTTCCTCGTTAAATCTCATAATCATTTAAATCCTATATCTTGAAAATAACACTCAAACAGTTAACCAAAATTTAACTCAATTTAATAGATAACATTCCAAACAATAGTAAAGATGTAATACTTTTAGGATTTAGTAAATCCTACTTGTAGTCAAACAGCCCCCAATCTCAGTATGACTTATTAAAAAATAAATGTTTGGATAAAAATGAATAAACATTTTCATTCATCACAAAAAAAAAAAAATCAATCTTTAGAATACAAAAAGTGATCCTTCAAAAGCAGCAAGATCACACTGACAGCTAGAAGCATCATACAATTATAGCACATCGCCAATAATACAATTTCATATTTTCAAATAATAATAGCCCATTTTCCAGGAAAAAAACCTTCATCTGATAAACAAGGCGTTGCGTCGAACAATCCGAAGCAGCATTACTTCCACTTTGTCCAACCAAGCCAGAAGAAATAAAGGGCAAAAAAACTAAATAAAAGAACAAAGAATTTCAACCTTGCTCATTCCAATCAATCTCATCGCCTAAAATGAAGCCAATAAAAAAATATTACAATTAACAAAACAACATGAGAAATGGAAAAATCGCAATATTCTCCCAATTGTCAGACAGACTAAAAGCAGCAGAGCCCTCTTGGATCCAAACAAAGACAGATACAGTATAAAAAAAAAAAGAAGCAAACCAATCATCCGATCGAAACGAAGCGAGAAATTGAACAAGGCAACTCAATCAAGCAGCACACTAGCGATCAAGAGATAGACATGCAGTGGCACGAAGCAGAGATAAACCAAAATTCTTCAATATCAGAGATAGGAAACCGAGACCTCGAGACAGGGAGGGATCTCCGGCTGGTAAAGAGTTCGCTTCTTCTGCAGATCGGAGAGCTCGCGAGGAAAGCCGTAATCTGAATCCATCGCTTTCTGTTTACTTCTGCGACTCTGTCAGCCACTTCTGACAGGATAAAATAATTATAGGGTTTTTGTAACGTTTTTCAGTAGCAGGATAAGAGGATAACGAGGAAATCTTTTTTTTTTTTTTTAATAATCTGCGAGCTTGATTTGGGTGGGGCCCGATAGAATATTCGAAGGCTTTTTTTGGGGGAAATATTCCAATCCATAATTCAGTTAATATTATTATATTATAATCTTTTATTTAACTTGTTATTATTAAATAATATGTCTTAAGTGCATCACTAATTTTTTTTTAATTTAAATGTTATAGTATATTATATATTGAAGCATTGCTATAATTATAAATGTTTGATTAAGATTTTGTTTGGGTCAATTTAGGATTTGTTTGGAATGGTTAATTTTTTTATAAAAGTGATTGTAAAATTGTGAAAAAATAATAATTTTTTATGATTGCAATAGAAAATAGTTTTCTAGTATATAAAATTTTTGAAAGCTTTATTAATTATGTGTTGAATCTTATTGTATTAATCAATTGAGTTGGTATTGTTGACTTGAATCTCAATTCCATCACTCGAGCTCACCAGGGGTAGTAGGGTGGTCTTCCTCATGCTTGGGTTCGGAGTTCGAGTGTTTTATACACTATTTTTTTTTTCTTTTGTGCAGCTTTACAATATTAGAGCATTGTATATTTGAGCGATGCAGCGCCGTTAGTTAGATTGTAGACATAAAGCAGTTTTCCTTATAATTGTTTATGCTTAATTTGAAAGGTGATATCCCTTAGGTGATTTTATGCGTGTCTCTTTGTCCATAATGACTAATTTATTTGTCCATTATGCGTGTAGAATGGTGCAAGAGTGAAAAGAGATAATGAGAGAGTGAGAGAGAAAGAAATATATACAATTTTTTGTAGAGAATTTCTTAGTATGGTGTGACTCAGTTCTTTTTTTTTCGAACTTTTCATGTTAAATCCTAATATTCTTTCTTTTCATTGCATTTTCTCTTTTTTATTTGTATTTGTTGCGTGGTTTACTTCCCTAATAAGTATTAGCCAAACAAGAGTGTGTTGCAACCTAACAAGTAAAAAAAAAAAAAAAAAAAAAAAAAAAAAAAAAAAAAAAAAAAAAACCCAAACTAACCCTTAAGAAAGATATTTATTCAATTAAAATGATGAATTATTGTTCGGCCAAATAAAGAAATAAATTAGATTTTATTTTATTCTTGTTTAATCTACTAATCAGAAATGAAAAAAATCAGCTAATTTCAAGTGTTTTTAATATAATGACCAATATAATTAACTAAAATGTAATTAAAACATTAAATGAAGTTAACAAATATATTTGCTCAATCAATAATTTAATATTTTTGTTGCATATTACACGCATAATTTGGAGTGATAGTACTTTGCAATGTGTGGTGGAGGCTGCTTGCTGGCCTATCAAAAAGGTTATCTTGATCTTAAAAATATACTATTCCACATATATAATTAAATTATTAATGAAAATAATGTACTAATTTATTTATTTTTACATAATATTTGATGTTTTTAAATATTAGAAGGTTTGAAGATGCTTAAAATTTGGCAGTTTTAAAATTAGTTATTATTTAAGTGAATGATTTCACTTATAATTTCACTTATAATTTTAAGGAATTTTGAATATATATATATATATATATAACTTAATTTTATAAGGTAAAAAAATGCAACAAAGTCATCTAAGTTCTTGTACAAAAAATTTGAGAAGGTAAAAAAGCCTACAAAGCCTCATCAAGGAACAATTATTACGTCCTCTGATCTGACGTAGAGGTACGTTCGGCCGTCAATAACATGTCGCCATGTGCTCTTACTCTTTACCGCGCGGCCCGACGACTTGACCTGGAATGGAACCCAGGAATGCTATGTTCGCGATTTTCTCGGTATTGTTCGGTATTTGCTCAGTATTGCTTTGCAAAAACGAGAAATACCGCTCTGTGAAGACCAAAACTATACAAATACTGAGTTGTACCGAGTTTTTCTACAACTCGGTACAACTCGGTATTTAGGTATTGCTAGAAAAAACTAGGTACAACTCGGTATTTGCTAGGTATTTGAAATATATCCAAAAGGTGATGGGATGTTGTTCGGCTCGTCAAGGATTTTAAAAAACGCACGCGCTAGAACCCAAAAAACTGCGGGCCGGCGTCTTTTCTTCATGCTACGTATCGCTAAAATATTGGTGGCCGAACGTAGAGAGCGTACGTTCACCGGACCAAATAAAAGTTCCTCATCAAGAGTAGCGGAGCCATGAGGCTCAAATTTATTTTGACAAAATTTTCATCAACTTTTTCAAGAGGTGCTGCACGGATGAAAAAATAAATTAGTTAAATATCATTATGATATATTAAAATATAAAAAATAAGGTTATTATTCAGATTTTTTGAGATTTTATATTTATTTTTAGCTTTTATAATATTGATTTGTTTATAAAATATACGATAATTTTGAAATTAGCATAGGCAGTGAAAGAATCTCTAATTTACCATCTACTATCATAGCTCCACATTTTTAAACTTTTTTTATAGATTTGTATGAGCTGCCGTGGATATTGCTTGGTTCACCGTCATGCTTGGATTGCTAAATCTATAGGTAAGCTTCAACATAGCATTTTTTTACTACCGATGATCATAACGATATAATAGTTTTCATGCAAGCCATGAAGTACCTACAATTGCATATCTCATATGTCCGACTTTTTTTTTAAATCTGTCATAAGACACTACATTTTTTTTAGGGGGGGCACGTGCCTACCTTTGCCGCCCCCTTGTATCTGTTACTGGTAATCAAGCGAAACAATAATCTACTCTAGAAATATAGATTTCAAAGGTCTACTTTTTTTCTCTTAATTATATAAGACAAAATTACAAAGTTTATAACAAGCATGCAGCACATTCTCTTATGGCCGTAGCCAAGAATATTGGAGAAGTATTGAAAGGTGATGTAGTGATTGGACGACATTAGTTGGGTGTTGGCGATAAGAAAATAATAGTCAAAATGAAGTTAGATGGATGATGTTGTTCAAGCTGAGAAACCTATAAATTTTGTTATAAGAATTTTTTATCTAGAACAGTCAATATTTATTTTTGGAGTCATAATAAGTTCAAATCATAAAACATTCTCACTAAAATATTTATAATATTGTGTTTTAGCTTTCCTATTTTTTCATAATTTTTGGAGACTTGAATTTTCTTAAGAAATCGACACCTGTCGATATAAGTGGGGTTTTGGGGATTATAAGGTGTCCGTTTTACAAACATATTTCACCATATTGTTTTAAACATGATTAGCTATTTTATGTATATTTTTCTGTAATTTTTCAATTTTTGGATTTAAACATATAAAATAATTTAAATAAAATTAATATTTTAAAATTAACTAGTTATAATAATTAATATTTTATTATAGTATCCCGTTCCACTATTATAAAATATGATAAGTTTTTTTTTTTTTTTCATGTTTTTCCTAAACAAAAATCGGGTTTGGGGAAAAATAAGAGAAAGAGAGGAGACAGAAAGTGATATCCAATTTTTGGGTGACTGCAGGTCATTTTCGTCCGTTGGCTTAGCTGGAAAACGTGTTCATCTCGAGGTGAAGCACCTTATATCCATATAAATTTTAAAAAAATGCAAGTTTTAGCGAATATTTCGATTAAAATTCTATATACGTTAATGAAAAACAGTAATAACTTTGCAGAGGTAAAACGTTCACTGTGTAACTTTTATATGTTATTGAGATTATGATTTTATACATTTTGAAAATTTTATACCATGGGTTTTGAAATTTGTGGAATTTTATTGAATAAAAAATTATCTGGATGTTGAAAAGTAGTGGTATAGTATAATAAAAGTCTTAAAATATTGTGTTACATAATATGTGGTAATTTTCTAAGAATATACATTTTTTCCTAGTTGGATTAATGTTGTCTACAATTATATAATACTGTAAAATTTTGATACATGTTCAATTACTCTTTAATTGTTATAATGTGATAATATATGTGTATATTTGATTAAATTATATATATTGGGAGCCATAAAGGAATAAAATCCTTTGAGATTATCTATGAGACAGAGATATGTGATATGTTCTAGTGTTATAAGCACAAATACAAAGGGAGTCATAAGGGGTCAGAATCCTTTAAAATCTATCTGGGTCCAAGAAATGTGATATGAACTACTATGTGATATGAATTTCAATTTATTTATTTGCTCATTATTGTTGATTTAAAATAACTACTATGCATTTATTACATCTCTTAGTTTAGTGATTTATTTGATTTACATTTAATTGCTTTTAAATATTCAACAAAATATTTGATAAAAGAATATTTAAAAATTTAGATTGGTTTGTGTGGCTTATTAAGCTATTGTAGCTCACTGTGATTTTATTTATGATTTTCAGGATCTAGGAAGGGGAGGCTGATTGTCGACTAGCAGTTCAGAATCAAATCTAAGGTCATAGGTATTTTGTTATTTTGATTTTTGTACTGTCACTACTAGTTAAATTTTCAGTTTTGTAGCTCTTCTATGTAGCCATGTACTGTAATGTAGATATTTACTTTAATGAAATGAAAGAAACTTGATGGATGAGTTTATTTTCAGTATTTTAATATTTTAGTAACTATGTAGTCTGTAATTTATTTCAATGAATTTTTGCAAAAAAAAAAAATAAAATAATTTCAAAACTAGATCTTATGATTCGCTTGTCACAACTCAATACGATAGGAATGGTCCTGACCGGGTTGAGTTGTAACACAAGCAATGTCAAACGAACTATGATATTAGGTTGACTTTGGTTGAGCAATCACATTCAAATGATGAAAATTGGAAAGGGTTGACGATGATGATCGATCGACGACAGCTGCTGAAGTCTTTTTTGGTATTGAACCTTAGACTGAGTTTTAGAGTCAATCAAATCTTCAAGCTCTCTTTAATTTCAAGTCAATGTCCTTTTTAAGTAGAGACAGATTAACTATGACAGTCGTTAGGCTTCAGTTGGGCAATCACATTCAGATGATGAAAGTTGAGCGACATGGGTTGGCGATGATGGTCGATTAATTAGAGCCATGAAGTAATTAATTATTTCTAAAATGTCCAGAATTTTATTTGGCAAAGAAAAAATGCAAGCCATCGTGCAGAATGATCTGCAGAGCACCGCGGGGCTGGGGACATCAATGATGCGACATTAACCTCTCTATTTGGAGCTGATTTTGGGGAGGCTTTTGGCATTGAAATGTTGCACTGCGGTGCCCATATCACTATTCACGAGATTCTATGGAGGATTTCTATGGGAGTGTTGTAACATTGGGATAGTGGGGGCCGTAACGCTAGGTCAAAATGAGTACTTTTAAAATATTAAATAATTTAATCCGTTTGCCTAACTCCTCACATCATCAAACCATATAGAGTTACGTCCAGACTCCAATAAAAACTTGACATGTATCCTTATACATAATATGTACAAATTTGTACATATTGTATACAATTGTGTACATAGTGTGTATATTATGTATATAAATTTGTACAAACCATTTACATAATTTGGTAATTTCTACATAGTGTGTACAATAGTACATAGTATGTACAAAAATACATATAATTTTTATTAAAGTCCGAACATACCCAAACTCCGTACCTAATAAATTATCATGGGTTAGAGACTGGCATAGCCATATTAGTAATTGCTTTCCATATAAGTTTCCTCTCAGAAGCATTATTGTGGATGAGTGGTAAGCTAGGACCGTTTAATCTCTCTCTCTCTATCTTGCCGTGGGCCCATGTTTATCTTCAATCAGTGGTTGGAAGACCGCTCAACCAGTTATTTGCTTATGATTAGGTTGCATTCAATTGGTGGAAGAATATTGATCAGAATTTTTTGTACTGGATTTGACATTTAGTGGTTTTGAGCTTATCCTGGTTTTGATAGGGTTGTAACAAAAGAATCTCAGAAAGACAATCACCAGCCAGAGAATTAGGACAATAAGTTGTGGATGTGCTCTATGACACGTCCAACGCCAGGTGTAACACGCAGGCCTGGTTCATGGTACTGGAATTAAATATTTTGTAGCACGCAAAAAATATTATTGCGTGTAATAGGAGAGATATAGAGAAGAAATGAATGTTGATGGAGGCATCAACACTTGTTCTCTATAAACTCTCTCTGTATCGCACCACAGTGCCACTCTATAATGGTTTATGTTTAAAGCTAATCGATGTAATCCAATTGAAATAGAAAGATACTTGGTCAAATCACCTTGCAGTTGAACCCGACATATAACTCGTGTATACATATCATTGATGGCTTGAATATAATCATTATTAACTCCTTTCTTTTCTAGAACTCCCTAGAGCACATCTCTAGGAACTTTATCATATGTTTTCTCTAAATCAATAAATATCATATTTAGATCCTCTTTGTTCTCTTTATACTTGTCCATCAAACCTGCCAATAAATGTGTAGCTTGCATAGTAGACCTACCCGTCATGATCCAAATTGATTTTGAGAAACATTAGTATCATGCCGTAACCTCTGCTCAATAACTCTCTCTCATAGTTTTAAAGTATGATGCATTCATTTAATTCCTCTATAATTCACACTCTTTTGCATCACATTTATTCTTTAAAATAGGAATCAACACACTTCTTCTCCACTCATGTAACATCTTTTTAATCTTCAAATAATATTGAAAAGTTTTTGTAAGCCAAAAAAATCCTTTTTCTCCTAAGCATTTTAACATTTTTATTGGAATATCATCAAGTCCAACCGCTTTTTCCCACTTCATTTTCTTTAAGGCCTCTCTAATTTTGATTTTACTAATATGAAGATAAAAACAAACCAGCCAGAGAATTAGGACAATAAGTTGTGGCGGTGCTTTATGACACATCCGACGCCAGGTGTAACATGCAGGCCTGGTTCATGGTACTGGAATTAAATCTTTTGTATCACGCAAAAAACATTATTGCGTGTAATAAGAGAGATATAGAGAAGAAAGGGACGTTGATGGAGGCATCAACACTTGTTCTCTATAAACTCTCTCTGCATTGCACCACAGTGCCACTCTATCATGGTGAAATTATTTTGTGCAGATACCAAATGTCATTCAGAGATCAATCAAAATGAGCCACGTCGCCCCTTGCTCAGTACCCCAGCTCGGTACTATTCGATACCGCGACTACGTACTCGACTCGGTACTACTGATGTGATGCATTCTGATTGGTCTTCAAAAAATAAACTATGTTCGGCGTCTGCACAGAATAATTTCTCCGCTTAATGGGCATAGAGCGGCCTTGTGTGTTATCCATAAAAATGATCTCTTGGTATAGGCAAACGCTGGGCCAACTGAATGTTACATCACATATGTGAATGTGATGTTTCAAATCATCCAAAATATGAATAAAAAGATCACCCAATAATTGAGGTGCTGTTCTGCCCTGTTCGCCTATCTCTTTGCTATTGTTGGCATGCCAATTTCTTGTCCTATCCATCGCCATCACCATCGAACTTTAATTTCTCTCAAGTGTTTTTGCCTTTGCATTCATTTTGCCATCTCCTACGCCTTCAGAGTACATTGCATTCATTTTGTCACCTTTATCAGAATCATTAAGACTGCATTCCCAGTAGTGATCTCTACTGTCTTCTCCTTCCTACACAGCTTCCCCCTCCCCTTCTGTTTTTGGCCCTCTATTGATATGAGCAGACGCTAGCCAACCTGCCAAAATTTGAATCTGTGCCAACCCAATACAGAACCTACTTGAGTCTTAGATTTAGTTTGGAATGGCTTTCTTACTGCATCGTAAAGTAATTTTTTTACTAAAATTTTAAAATTTTTGTACTAAAAAGTTGCTTTAAGAAACAGCAAGAAAGTCGGCCCAAACGAAGCATTAGAAAATCAGAGTTCAATCTGATTCCAAGAACCTTAACATTTCTTGTGTTCATGTTAATTTCTGATTCTGTGTAGAATTAAGTGGAAACGATTGAATTTTGACTTCTAATAGGGCTGATGTACCACTGAAACATTAATAGATGCTCTGGTTTATCCTTGAAATACAATTTGTTGTAGCAATTACCTTCGAATGAAAGCGTGTGTAAACAGGATTCAAGACATTTGATAAACCAGATATTTCTCTTTTACACAAATTAAAAGATTTTTACTATTAGTTGTATTCATTGATTTGGAGCTTTGTCTTCTGATGAGATTTGAAGTATATAATTAGGTTTGAAAAAGAATGTTTCTTATTTCAAATTGATGTGTTAACGTTATTGAATTATATAAAGTTCTCTTCTTTTTTCATGGTTGATCATTTGGTTTCTTAATTTAAGAATCAAGATGCAATTAATTTTACTAATTTTATTCTGAGTAGACATGAATACATATTGCTAAATGCTCTCTCTTATAGTTTCATAGAACCACCCTTCTGAAGCTTCCAACCTTGCAGCTCTTGACCCATACTCTTTTACTCATGGATTCACAATTCTGCATCAATTGCAACCTGCAGATCCATGCAAAACCTTAAATATCATACCCATCTTCTGCAAGCTTCCATGAACAAATCCAAAATTGCGATCCATAAAAAAACCAAGATTTACTAAACCAACTCTCCATGCTGTTTTACTTCACAGTTTTCATCGTTCCATACTTTGAGCTCTTTACCCTGGTTCTTCCACTGATACGTGTTCGCTTTGTAATGATGCCTGCTTGCAAATACCAAGAAAACTATGAAGTTCAGCACACCAAGCACTGCAAGCATCCAGTAAAAATAATCCAGTCTCCCATTGTTCAAATTATTCTTAATCCAACCTCCACTTGTAACCTTATCAACTATAGTCACCAAAACACTGCTCAAGAAGAACCCCATTGATATGGTGCTAATGAAGAGGCCTGTGCTCATCGACTTCATCTTCTCCGGCGCTTCGCGGATGAAGAACTCCAGCTGCCCAACATAAGCAAACCCTTCTCCTATCCCAACCAAGCAGAACTGTGGAACAAGCCAGAACACACTTACAGTTTTGCTCCCCTCGTTTGCAAGCTCTTTTCTTCTCATCTCGACCACTGCAGCAACAACCATCGCAATCACTGAGAAGATGAGGCCAATGCCGACTCTTTGGAGGCTGGTGATGCCCTGAACGTTATGCGTGAAGCCGCGGGCGAGGGGGACGAGGAGCTTTTCATTGAGGGAGGTTATGAGGAGGATGCTGATGAAGAGGAAGAAGGAGAGCGAGCCAGAAGGGTAAGTGAAGGAGCCAACTTTGCGGTTCATGTAAGTGGCTTGCTCAACTGAGAAAGTGGTCATCTGAGAATATATGGTCCAGAACATAATGCAGGTTGCCCAGATTGGTAGCAGTTTTAGCACCATCTTTACTTCTTCCACCTCTGTTACAGTGGACACTTTAGTTGTGTTGACAGTCTTTTTTCCTTCACTGAAAGATTCTGGAGCTGAGATTTCATGGCTTTGCAGGATTGCTGCTTTGTCAAGCCACCTGCAATGAAGGTGAAGGTATTTTATTGCTAATTCACTGAAATGCAAAGCATTTTTCATTCAATAAAATTAGGAGTTTTAGATCAGAATATTCTTTTCAAACTTTAGCTGATCATATAAGGTGTATTGTTATAAACAATTATTATCTATATTGTCAAAATATATTATCTTTTAAAATATTTTAAAATATCTTAATTTATTTAAAAATATCTTATCTTTTAAATTTATAAGTAAAAGCTTATAGATAAGCTGAGACTGGGCCTGGAATTTGGCTAAAACGAGTTAGTGCTGTGGGTTTTGTCCAATGGCCCAAAACTACCATCTTTCAAACAAATTCTGACAAGTGGAGAAAGCTTATTTGGATGAATCAAAGCATTATTTTTTTGAATGCGATTTTAATTATGCATCTAAAGAAATTGCTATATATGAATGAAGAGATCCAAAATTTATTAATATTTTAAATTTATTTTTATTTGAATATTTTTTATTTATAGTCATGTAAGTTTTGAATGAAATTTGAAAATTTTCAACAATAATAACAACAACAACAAGTTTTTATCTTACTACATTGGGCTGGCTACATGAATTCTTAATCATTTTTATGTCCTATTAAGAGTCAAATTCTCATCTAAATCTAATAAAAAAAGACTTTTCTAAAACTCCCGTTGTCGACCCTAAGCCTAGACATAAAAAACGGAATGTTGCATTAGCTGGTTTTCAGTTATTCAAAAACTTTGAATGAAATTTAGGCTTCATTTGGGACGATTTTTTCATTGCTTCTTAAAGCAACTTTCTAATACATAACTTTTAATTTTTGTAATAAACAGCTGTTCTAAGAAGCACCAAGAAAGCCATCCCATCCGAAGCCTTAATTAAAAGAAGCAATTCTCAAATATTTTTATTATTTAGATTTCATGAATTGGAAAATTTTCTGTAACAAAAGATAAATATAATTATATAAAATTTCAATAAAATCAGTCTTCTTCCCTTGATGATCCGTTATTTTATATAAATGTCCAGTTTATCATCCTCTACTGATAGATAAGTTTAGTCATATTATTTCACTGAAAACAGCTCTAATGACGAAATCTTACAGTCAAACCCTTTGATGCAATTACCATAAGATTAATTAATCTGGTCTGCGTTACGTGCTGCTTTGTTCTCATTACGATTGTTTTCTTCTTAATGATTTGTTTGTTAATGAAAGCTCCCAGTAGTTTACTGCAAAGACATTCTTGTGAATAATAAATTTAATAGCAGGCGATATTTATAAGAAATTAGTTGGATTCTTTCCAAGTTGTAATATATATATGATGGAGTTTCTTATGTAAAAAACAGTCTCACCTGAATAAATCAAATAAATAAATAAATTATTTAGAACTAAATATTAAAATTTAAAATTTATTTTAATCATTTTTTAATTAGGATGTTCTATCAAAAATTTTTCTTATATGAATGCAAATGATGGTTGCCTTAAAATTAATCATCTATTTTTTTTAATGAGCAATAATGATAATTCTTATAAAATATTGATAACATTATTTGCTCTGAAATTAACATGAGAGCTAACAGCATTACTTAAATTAAAGAGATATAGATAGAATCCCGAGGCTGTGAATGTGATAAAAGCAAACTAATTATATTGATCTTCATCTTCTCTATAACAACAAAAAGTACATATATTTAAATTTAGGTTTCGTTTGTGATTATTTTTTCACTGTTTATTAAAGTAATTTTTTGATATAAAAATAAAAATTTTAATAAAAAAATTATTTTAAGATGCAATAAAAATATTATCCCATATAAGTTTTAATTTTTCTATTTGCACTTTTAAAAGCTCTGTTTTTTGCTATGATTTTTTAAATATTTTTTTTGAAAAATAAATTTTAAAAAAATGATGAAAAACTTCTTTTAAACACTCATTATTTTTTTTAATAATTCTTTCTCTTTTCACAAAAGAAAAGCTCTTCCTAACAACGCCTTAGGCCGTTTAGAACAGCTTACGTTCTGCTGATTATTTTTTTAAAAGCTTCCTTTTCAATCATAATTTTAAATATAATTTAAAACAATTTTATTTAAAATAAAATGATTAAAGACTATGTAAAAATTATCATTTAAATTAGCATTATTTTTTTTATAATTATTTTTTAAGAAAACAAAGCAGTATTTCACCCAAAAAAAAAAACAGGAATTATGGTCTACCTGAGCCGGTCAGTATGCGGGGCCGTGGCTGCCTCATAACCATGAAGCTCCTGCACATGCTCTGGATATGCCAATCCCCTCTTCCTCCTCGCCCTCCACATAACCCGCAACAACACCGTCAGCGGGCTCCCCTGCGGCCGCCGGAATCTATACCTCGTCGTTCCGGCGAGCAAAATCACCATCGCCGCCACCATCGTCGCCGCCGATATCCCATACCCCCATCCCCTCCCAACATTGTCTTGTAAATAAACCAACACCGTCACAGCAAACAACGAACCCAGACTGATGCAGAAGTAGAACCTATTGAAGAAGAAAACCATCGACCTTTCCTCCTTCGGGTCACTGTTATCGAACTGATCTGACCCGAAACCCGACACGTTTGCCTTTATACCGCCCGCGCCGGCCGCGATTATGTACAGCGCTGCGAACAGCATTGATAGCTGTCCGCCGCTCGCCGATACGCATTCGTGTTCTTTAAGCCGGAAATCGTCACATTCCGGTGGCTGCATGCTGCTCAGAGAGGTTGCCATTGTCAGCAAGCTGGTTCCCTGTAGAATAACAGAGCCATAATATAGTTAAAATCTATAATTGTTTCAATAATAAAAATTGAAAATTTTCAAATTTATTCAAATGATCCAAATATTTTACAATGGATAAACATTTTATGTGTAAGTGAACCTAGTCGGCTCAAACTTGGCTCGTTAATGAGCCCGTGAATTGATATTATCAAGTTTTGAGTAAGATCGAGCTCATATGCTAGATGAGCTTTGTGGTCGAGCTCCATCCGATTTGATAATCGTCGAGATACTCGTTTTTAAAAATTGAACCCTCGAGCTTGAGTAAAAATTTATGAGTCAAGCTCGAACTTGTTTGATGGGCTCGACTTGACCTCAAGCTCAATTTTGAGCTGCTCTTTTGAGGGACGAGTAGAGCTTGACTCGTTTGCACCCCTATTTATCACGATTGACACAAAAAGTTTTTTATATTTATTCAAACATTTATAGTAAATTTAATTAATTATGGAGAAACATCGATATCAGAATTTCTGATTAAAAGTTAATCATATATATATATATATATTAATTTTGATTTAAGTATATAATTTATAAATTATCAATCGATTTTAATAAATTTTTTATTTTTATTTGAAAAATAAAAATAAAAAAAAATTATTTTAATCCGGATATTTTAACATACTATTTTTTTAATTCCTTAAACGAGATATTTAATATAAAATAAAATGCTTTTCTAATGCTTCTATTTATTTTATACCGGATAGATTTTATATATACATTTTTTTAAATATCCAAAATAAGAAATAAATAAATTCGATAAATTTCTTTTTTTTTTGTTCAAAAGTCAACCAATGGGCAGTACTGATTCATTGCCCAACAAAAACATGAAGGCTTTTCCAAAAAAAAAAAAATTGAAGGCTGTAAGTATTTTTAAAACTATATAATAACATAATTAAAAAAACTTACTAAAACACATTCCAAAATTATAAGATAAATATAAAAAATATTAAATTTTATTATGATCAGTCCAATAAATTTAGCAATTTTTATTAGAAATAAGAATTATATTCTGAAAACACAAGGAAAAAAAAAATCTAAAATCATGAATGGGAATTACCGCGGCAGCGATAGCGGCGGCGGTGGCGGCGGTGAGAAACCGGCCTAACTTAGCGTCGGCGACGAATCCGCCAAGAAGGGCAAGGAGGTTAAGTGTTCCCATGAAATTAGTGACTATATTAGCAGACCTTGAGGTAGACAGGTGAAGATCTCCAACCAAATAAGTAACCAGATTCATGGCGATTCCCACTACACAGACTCTTTCAGCTAACTCCGTTCCTAATATCAGACCGGCGGCTAACCACCCGCCGGTTCTCGTCTTGTCGGCCGGGTTTCCTCGGAAGTCGACCACCGATTCATTGCTGGGCTCCAAACCGGAAGTGTAATCCTGTACCATGAGAATCAGAGAAGAAGAAGAATAGGTAAGAAGCCATGAAATTAAGAGTGTTTATGCAATTAGTAAGAAGGAGAGAGAGAGGGCTATATAGTAATTATACCATTGAGCTGAGAATGAGAAGAGAGATTTAGCTGGAGTGGAGGGTGATGAGGGCTGAATTATATATAGATTCAGTGCGAGGAAGAAAGAGAATCAAAATGTTCGCCGGCCAAAATTTTTGGAAGGGGGAAAGTTAGAGAGGGAAGGACGGTCGAAGACGGAGCGTGTGAGGTCGGGACATAAAAGAGTGAGATAGGTACAAAAATCTTTTTTAATTGATAATTTTTAGAAGTTGGGTTAGATATTGCGGAGGAAAAAGAATTGTGTTAATTTATATGATACGATCCATCATCTAAAATCCGATAGATCAAAAACGAATCTCAATACTTAGTTAGAATCTTTTAAAATTAAATTCAAATAATTTTAGACTCTTATTTCAATAAATTTATTAGCAAATTGATTGATTCAATGAGATGAACTCGACTATCTAAGGCTTAATTTGGGACAAATTTCTTATTATTTTTAAAACAATAATTTTTATAATAAAAAACTATTCTGAAAAGTAATAAAAAAATTTATCAAACGAGACTTAAGTCCAAATAAGTGCATATTAAAAGATTAAAATATAATTGAGATTTTTAGATTACTAATTGGAGGATCAAATGAACTTCAAAGTTGACATGCTTTTATAGTTAAATAGTGTCTCAACATTACGAATCCAATGAGCTCATAATCTCTCAATTTCGTTAATGTTAAAGAGCTTATAATGTTAAAAGAATATTTAGTTATCAAGATAATATGACTGAATAAATTAAATATTTTCTTTCATTCAATATTACTAAATACGGGAACATTTCTCTTGATATGTCATCAAAAATTGTTTTGATCGAGCACAAATCAGTCACTCCGACCTCAATCCCCACCCCCGAATTTATTATTATTATTATTATATTATTATTTAGGTAATTTGTCTCCCTCAATCTTTTTTTTAGTCTTTATTACAAGAATTTTTAGACAATTCTCTCCCCCC